GACACTTCAGAGGCACCACCAAACTTATTTAGTTGGTTAAAGGCACAAGTGTTATATCTGAATTTTGAAGAGAGAAGTAGAGGAGTTAAAAGGAAACAAAAAACTGAATCAAAAAATGTTCATAGTATCATTATTCATAATATCCAAATTTTTTTTTAAAAATCTGAATGTCTAACCATGAGATAATAAGTAAATTATGGCACAGTCATACAGTGAAATATAATTTACTAATCTTTTCAGACAAAGAAAATGATACATGATACAATATAACGTGAGGCATGCAAAGCTGTTTTTATGGTATGCTTTCTGCTATGCAAAAAAGACACAGACCAGAAGGAAACAGACCATTACTTAAGGGTGGTTATTTCTGGATGGTAGAAATACACTTGACTCTTTTTCTTCTTTTTTTTTTAGTCCTTAAGCATTTGGAGGCTATTTTCCAGGCTTCTCCAAGATCTAGAGCTATCTAATATGCTATCTAATATGTCTCCTTGAGGTCAGTATTATTGTTTCAGTAGGGCAGGAATGACCACTATGGCTGCTTGGCCATCTGCTAAGATTTAATAAGAACACCTGCATAAACCTTCCAGTGACCTTTCACAGCACTTGGGAGAAAATTCAAACTCCTTAGCTTGGTCTCCAAGTTAAGGGCCTTGCCCACTTCTCTCACCTTAATTCCTACCACTTGCCCCCTCACTCACTGTGTCCAGACAACTGGCCAACTTCATTCTCTCCTAAGAGTCTTTTTTCGTTTTTGGCGGCTGACCAGTACAAGGATCCAAACCCCCTCCTAAGAGTCTTTAAACCTACTGTTCCCTCTGCCTAGAACTCTTTTCCCCCAGGACTTCCTATGAATGGCTCAAAATGTCACCTCCTCATCTTCCCTGTTCAGCCACCTTCCCTGACCACTGGTTCTGGCTGAGCTGACTCTTCCCCATTCCCACAGCAGTTTTATAGCCCCAACCTGTTTTACTTTCTTCACAGCTCTTATCACCACATGATTCTTTTTTAAATAGTATTGTCTGCCCTACCTACCCTCTCCAAAGATTATAAGCATCATGACAGCAGAGATCTTGCCTTTCTTGTTCATTATTACAATCCTGGTACCTATAATAGTCCCTGGAAATAGTAGGTGCTCAATAAATAGTTGCTGAAGGAATGAATGAATTACACCACTGAAGGCAATAACACAGAGAAGAAATATGAAGAAACCAGAGGTGCCCTAATAGCATCAAGGAAATAATGAAGAAAACTATTTCCTTTGTTCCTGACTATTGAAAGCAGCCAAGTATCAACTTCATTCACATGCACAAGGGTGCTGTTAAAATCTACACTGATAGTCACCAAATGAGTGTCATCTGCAGCCTAATCCGCAATTGCTAAGTCTACGCTCCTCTACTCAACCACAACCGAATCTTCAGATCCGAGAAGCTGCCTTGGGCACTCACCGCTAGCTCCTCTGGCTGACAGAGTATGAGTAAAGCATGCATGCATTCTATCCTGCGTTTTAAGTGAATGATACAAGCTAGCCCACTGATTACCTAACATGGGACCATGCCAAGGTTTATATGCCATCTCATCGAAAACTCACAACCCCCTGCAAAGTAATATTTCATTTTGCAGACAAAGGTCAGAAGAGCTAAATCATTTATCCAAAACAATTTACCCAAGTGCCGTGTAACTACTAAGTAGTTACATAAGTGTTACATAACTAAGAGTTGGCGCGCTATACCAAACTAGCACCCGGGAGAAGCGTTGACCTAGGAAGAATGCTACTCAGGCAGGTAGTATTTCCATCAGATTAAAGTCTTTAATTTTGAATTGCCACATTTCCAGAATACACTCTGATTAGAATACTAACTCCCTTTCATAACCCGTTCCTGAAATAGTACCCATTCTTAAAGTCCCAAGTCAAACAACGCCTTCAAAGAGCATTTCCCAATATCTCCAGTCAAACTTGATTTTTCCTTTGGAAGCCACGATACACTGTGCCTTGTATATTTTATGTGCAAATGTCATGTCAACCCTAACCCTAAGATCCTCCCACATATCTCTATCTCCCATGTCACATAGCTCATGTACAGCACACAGCAGACACTCAAAATATGTGAATGAATGAGTAAATGAATGACTAAAATGGAACTCATAATTTAAACTGTGAACTAAATCTCCTCCTAAGTTTAGGAATTATTACCATTTGGTTATTTCCTAATAGATGATGAACTTACAATCTGTACAGAATCACAGACTCTAATGACATAGGAAGCCTTGTTGGTTACCTACTCTAATTTTCTACCCAGTTATTTTTGAAGACCCAGAAATCCCTTCTACAGCATGCATTTGGCAATTATTTAAAATATTTACTGAGCACTTAGTATACACAGGGTAAGTCAAGGGGAGGACAAGATAGGATAGAGCTAAAAATAAGACATACTTTCATGAACCTTAAATTCTAGACAAATTGTGAAAGAGGGCAATAACTGGGATACCATGACAGAGAGTACCTGGGAAAGAACGCCTTAGATAGGATGCTCAAGGAGTGTCTGACTTGACACCTGAAGTAAGAGAAGAAATCAGCCTTGGCAAGAGCCATGGAAGAACATTCTAGGCAAAAGGATCATCAAAGGCAAAGGCTCAAGGTGAGCAATAACTTGGCATATCTGAGGAACATAAAAGAGGACAATAAGGAGGGTATACGGCCATGAAAAGGGCGGGACGAGACAATGGAAGAGGTGGCAGCTGCAAGCAGCCAAATCATGTACGGGCATGTTGGCCGTGGTAAGGAAGTTGGATTTTACGCTAAGATCAATGGGAAGCCACGGAGGGTTTGAAGTAGGAGCCTGGCATGATTTTTTAAAGATCATTTGGGCCGCTGGATGGAGAACTATTTCAGATGAAGAAGGAATAAAGAGGATACTGCAGTCATTCAACTGAAGGTGGCTGGGACTGAGGCTGCGTGTGGCTAGGGAACTAAAGAGAAGTGGACAGATTTGGGATACAGATGTGTGGCTGAACTGCCTAGACTTGCTGGTGAACTGAATGTGCGAGTGAGAGAAAAAAGGGGGGTTCACTTTAACAAGTGGGTGAGAGGATCATGGGTTGAGACGGCAAAAACTGGCGAAAGGACAGGTTTAAAGAGGAAATCAATAGCTTTGCTTTGCCCATGACAAACACAACAAGACTGTCCGACACCCACGTGGGGAAGTCACACTGGATGCGAGTCTGGAACTCGGCTGAGACTCGGGAGAGTTACTGTTCTGGGAGGCGGGACACACAGCCCTCTGCGCCCCAGTCCGTCTTCTGGAGATACACAGTAACCGCAATGCCTTCTCCCGGTCCAGGCTCAGCATCTCCCGGGAGGCTGAGTTTCATCCTCTGAGCGACGGGAAAGAAGACAGACGCTACGCAGGGGACCTGGAGGTCAGGCTAGACCAAGGGGAACAGCTCGGGGCGCCTCGCTCCCGGCCTGGAGGACAAAGGGACGTCGGAGGCAACGGGGCAGCGACCCACCGGCCTGCCCCTGTGGGCCCCGTAACACCGCCTCCTCCCGCACGGCGAGCGCAGCAGCCTCCGCCCACCCCCTAAACCCGGCCTCCTCCGCCCTCCTGCAGCATGGGCCCACTAAGCCCCGCTCGGCCTCGCTCTCACCCGCCTCCTTCTTCTCCTCACGCCGGGCCGTGCTCTTGCCCTTGGCCTTCCGGCCGCGCGGTCCGCGTCCCCGCGCTTCCCCGCCTGCCGTGCGCTTCCGAGCCATGTCACCCGGGCGAAACGCGCTTCGCGAGTGACGCACCAGCCGCAGGAAGACACCCGAGCGCAGGCTCCGCCCCGACACGGGCGCGACGTGACCACGCCCCGCCGTTGTGGGGTAAAGCCACGCCCCCAGACGAAGCTCCGCCCGGCCCCAAATGGCCGTCGTAAACTGTGGGAAGCAAGAAGCAAAACAGCTTTCTTTCCACTTCCGGTGCGTTGCGTCCTCACTTTTCCGGCGCACGGAGGCGCTCGCGTGTTCTCGCGAGAGGCGGGAAAAGGCGCAGTGTTTGAAACATGGCGGACGACGTGGACCAGGTGAGAGTTCTGAGGGGCTCGCTCCAGAGCGGCTTCCCCTCCCAGCCCTGACCCGCGCTCGACTTCACGTACCAGGACTGCTTTCCCCGAGCTACCCCCCTCCTCCTTCCTGGTCTCTAAAGCCTAGTCTGCCCCTTCCTTCGGTAACCGCGCCCGTCCGAATTTTGCCGCAGGCCCTGAGATCTTTTCTTGTTCCAAGCCCGCCAACTAGTTATTTACCAAGTTCGTCTCTTCCTTTTTCTTGAGTCTGTAGAATGGGAATAGTTATCTCTGCCTGCCTTACGGGGCTGTCGGGATTCCAATAGAAAACGTGGTAATAAAGTTAAGGCGTCGTCGTCATTGCTGAGTGCGTTCAGCAAGGACGTAGTGCTTTATGGGATTAGACACTGTCCTGAGCACCAGGGACACTGGCGTTGACGTAACCGATTCCGTCCTCACTCGGAGCTTATGTTGTGGGGGAGGACAGATAAAAGTAGATATAAAAATGTGAGGTATACAGGAACTGTGATGTGGTGTGAAGGAGACAAGCAAGGAACTGGTGTACAGACTAATGAATGGTCCCTACAAGCTTTTCCCCTGCTCTTCCCTCTTCCTCAGCTGTCTTTGTGGACAAGCCACAACTTCAGCTTTCTACTGAAATCTCACCTCATCAGAGAGAACTTCCCTGGCCATCTGCATAAAAATAGCACTCCCCCCACTCTGCTCACCCTACTTTATTTTTCTTCATAGCGTGGGTTGTTTTTTTTTTTCATATAAAGTATATGCTGCTTTGTTTAGTGGGTATGTCCCCTTACTAAAACGTAAGTTCCATAGGAGCAGGGATTTTGTTTTGTTCACTCTTCTGCCCTTGGGTTTGAGAACAATGCTAGAATCACTCAACAAATATTTATTGAGTGAATGAGTTAGATGAGCAGGGGAGGCCTCTTTGAAAAGGCAAAATTTAAAACTGCAGGATGAAAAGGGTGGACAACAGGCATCCCAGACAGAGGCTTAGGTAGCATTAGGCTGCCATGTGTATATTAAATTATGTATTTATATACCTCTCTCCACACTAGAGGGTGGGAACTGTGACTTCTGTATCATTGTAATACAGTGGTTGGTGATCTCGTTCTTAACAGCACCTATTGTACTGTGTTTAGCGGGGAGGCATCAGTTGAGGTCAGGATTTTTTTTTTTCTCATCTAGCCTTTTGAGCTTATGACATTCAGTGACCTTTCTCCACGGGCCCTCATGTACTCACTGAAGACGCTCCCCTTGAATAATCTTACCGACTTCTATGGCCACTACCATTCCTTCCATGTGGATGACTCCATGTCATCCTAACCTTGGCCTCTGAAACCTAAGTTTCCAACAGTTCTTTAATAGTAGTAGTGGAAATTATTTATAAGTATTTTCTGTTTACCAGGTACTGTGTTAAGTACATTAGCTCATTTAGTCCTCACGAGAACCCTGAAGGAAGGCTGTGGCTTCCGCATTTTACAAACCGAGGAATCTGAGAATTAGAGATGGTGTGATTTTTAATTTCAGTTCATAAGTGTCAGGTCAGGCCCAAGAGTTGGACCCAGACTGCCTGACTCCAAAGCTAGTGCTTTCAACCAGTATTTTATATGCCTTACTAAATATATTCATCTTACTGTTCATTTGGCACCCTAAACTCAACCTGCCTTGTGCTGAATTCATACTCTTTTTTGCTTAAGCCTTACCTCTGCCTAGCATTCTGACTAGTCTGTGGTAGGCATGGGGTGAATGATTTTCAAGTAATTAAATGGTATTTGAGATAAGGCTAAATTCCCTGTATCCTGAAATTGGTTCTGGTAGTTTGAATTTTGAGGGAACAGTGTACAGTCATGATTATTTTGTTGTATAACTGTTCCTATGTATGTATGTTTTAGCCCTCATTTACATAGCACTTACTACATGAGAGGCACTTTCCTAAGCTTTCCTATCTATCGTTTAAGGCTCACAACAACAGAATGAGATAGATACTATTGTTATCTCCATTTTACAGATTACCCAGGCGTAGGCAGGATAGGTAACTTGTCCGTGGTCACACAACATAGCAGTGATTTGACTACCACAGTATTTCTAGTACTGCGTTACTAAGGCTATTTCTTTTATCAGCAACAAACTACCAACACCGTAGAGGAGCCCCTGGATCTCATCAGGCTCAGCCTGGATGAGCGAATTTATGTGAAAATGAGAAACGACCGAGAGCTTCGAGGCAGATTACATGTAAGTAAATTTATCAAAGTACCTCGAAATCAGATTGTATCTTTGCCACCCCTTACCAGTTCCACTCCCTTGAAATGTAAAAACTGTCCAGTGTGAAAGAGTATTTTGAAATGTGGAAGAGAGGGAGGTGAAAAGATACTCATTTCTACAGGTCAAATACAGCTGTTTTGTTCATATGTACAACATTTTTTCTTGTAACAGAAATAGCATATTTATTATAGAACATTTTCATTCCCTTCTTTTTTCCCCTTTTGCTTATTTATAAATAGCATTTATTTGCCCTGTATTCTTACTTAAATGTTTTTTTATTACTGACATTTACATAAATATGTGTTTTGTTATGAAAAAAATTAAGCAGCACAGAAATAAAATCCCATTTTCTCTATTGGTAATGACTGTTAAAAATTGGGTTATTGTTTTCTGTATCTTTTCTGTATATTTAAACATACAGACATATGTGTCCCTATGCATACTTTTGCATTATGTACAGCACTTCTAAATAAAATAAACGGGATATTGTTATACATATTTTTCAGCACCTTTCTTTTGCACTTAATCTTTCTTGGAAATCATTGATCATGTGTGCATATAAATCTTTGTCCTTTTTAATGAATACGTGGGATTCTGTGTATGATAGTAGTGATATTTAGATTGTTTTTCATTTCTTGCTACTGTAAACAATGCTGCAGTAAGCATTTTAATAACATTTTTTTGTGTATATTGGCAAGTATTTCTGTTGAATTGGTCCCTTGAAGTGGTCGTATTTATTCATAATTAGTATACTGAAAGTTTTGCCTTTCCTTGATGACTTGTTACTTTCCTAAGTGTGTTTTTATTACTGTCACTCTTACCCTAAAGTGATTAAAAATAGCTAACATTTGTTCAGCATTAATTATATGCCAGGTACTATTATTCTACATGTTTTGTATGTAGTAACTCATTTAATCTTTATAACAACCCTGTGAGGAAAGGTACTAATTGTCCCCACTTGCAGTTGAGGAAGCTCAGGCTCAGAATGGTGAAGTTATCTGTTCAAGGTGACATAGCCAGTTCAGCAAGAGCCAGAATATGAATCTAGGCAGTCTAGCTTCAGCCCTACTCTTTGTACTATGGTTCCACCTTCCATAAAACCTGAAGTATCTCTGGGCCTGGGAAGGAATTAGGGGCCTAGGGAGACAGTAGTCTTAATCTACAGCTAGCCTTAAGGGAAGAGGAACTCCAGAAGATGGAAAAGTGGCAACTTTGGGGAGAAAAATAGAACTGAGCTTAATTACATGGATCTGTGGCACATGGAGAGACACCCCAAGACAGACATGTTACCCTTAACACTTAGAGGCTTCTTCAGTTCCTTGTTAGACTCAATTGGCTCTGTATTGAATGGCCCCAGCTTTCTGTTTCTTTTCTGCCTCTCAACCATATGTTTTTGCTCTTGTTAGTGTGCTCTGCTAGCAGTTCCCCACATAGCCAGTAGGCTACTTTTATTTGAGGTGAACAGACAAATCATTCAATGCTGTTATAAGTAAACATAAGTGGGTTTATTGTCATAAGTAAATGTAAGACCCCAGAATGTTCACCTTTGGTAAAATGCATGAACTTTGGGGCTTGGATTGAATATCTTAGTTGTAACATTTATTGATTGAGCTCACAGATCCCAGACACATTGAAATTCTGGATGGGTGTATTAGTCCGTTTTGTGTTGCTTATAACAAAATACTTGGAACTGGGTGGTTTATAAAGAACAGAGGTTTATTTGGCTTATGATTCTGGGACAGCTGCATCTGGCTTGGGCCTCAGGCTGCTTCTACTCATGGCAGAAGGTGGCAGGCAGCCAGCGTNCGCTCCCGGCCTGGAGGACAAAGGGACGTCGGAGGCAACGGGGCAGCGACCCACCGGCCTGCCCCTGTGGGCCCCGTAACACCGCCTCCTCCCGCACGGCGAGCGCAGCAGCCTCCGCCCACCCCCTAAACCCGGCCTCCTCCGCCCTCCTGCAGCATGGGCCCACTAAGCCCCGCTCGGCCTCGCTCTCACCCGCCTCCTTCTTCTCCTCACGCCGGGCCGTGCTCTTGCCCTTGGCCTTCCGGCCGCGCGGTCCGCGTCCCCGCGCTTCCCCGCCTGCCGTGCGCTTCCGAGCCATGTCACCCGGGCGAAACGCGCTTCGCGAGTGACGCACCAGCCGCAGGAAGACACCCGAGCGCAGGCTCCGCCCCGACACGGGCGCGACGTGACCACGCCCCGCCGTTGTGGGGTAAAGCCACGCCCCCAGACGAAGCTCCGCCCGGCCCCAAATGGCCGTCGTAAACTGTGGGAAGCAAGAAGCAAAACAGCTTTCTTTCCACTTCCGGTGCGTTGCGTCCTCACTTTTCCGGCGCACGGAGGCGCTCGCGTGTTCTCGCGAGAGGCGGGAAAAGGCGCAGTGTTTGAAACATGGCGGACGACGTGGACCAGGTGAGAGTTCTGAGGGGCTCGCTCCAGAGCGGCTTCCCCTCCCAGCCCTGACCCGCGCTCGACTTCACGTACCAGGACTGCTTTCCCCGAGCTACCCCCCTCCTCCTTCCTGGTCTCTAAAGCCTAGTCTGCCCCTTCCTTCGGTAACCGCGCCCGTCCGAATTTTGCCGCAGGCCCTGAGATCTTTTCTTGTTCCAAGCCCGCCAACTAGTTATTTACCAAGTTCGTCTCTTCCTTTTTCTTGAGTCTGTAGAATGGGAATAGTTATCTCTGCCTGCCTTACGGGGCTGTCGGGATTCCAATAGAAAACGTGGTAATAAAGTTAAGGCGTCGTCGTCATTGCTGAGTGCGTTCAGCAAGGACGTAGTGCTTTATGGGATTAGACACTGTCCTGAGCACCAGGGACACTGGCGTTGACGTAACCGATTCCGTCCTCACTCGGAGCTTATGTTGTGGGGGAGGACAGATAAAAGTAGATATAAAAATGTGAGGTATACAGGAACTGTGATGTGGTGTGAAGGAGACAAGCAAGGAACTGGTGTACAGACTAATGAATGGTCCCTACAAGCTTTTCCCCTGCTCTTCCCTCTTCCTCAGCTGTCTTTGTGGACAAGCCACAACTTCAGCTTTCTACTGAAATCTCACCTCATCAGAGAGAACTTCCCTGGCCATCTGCATAAAAATAGCACTCCCCCCACTCTGCTCACCCTACTTTATTTTTCTTCATAGCGTGGGTTGTTTTTTTTTTTCATATAAAGTATATGCTGCTTTGTTTAGTGGGTATGTCCCCTTACTAAAACGTAAGTTCCATAGGAGCAGGGATTTTGTTTTGTTCACTCTTCTGCCCTTGGGTTTGAGAACAATGCTAGAATCACTCAACAAATATTTATTGAGTGAATGAGTTAGATGAGCAGGGGAGGCCTCTTTGAAAAGGCAAAATTTAAAACTGCAGGATGAAAAGGGTGGACAACAGGCATCCCAGACAGAGGCTTAGGTAGCATTAGGCTGCCATGTGTATATTAAATTATGTATTTATATACCTCTCTCCACACTAGAGGGTGGGAACTGTGACTTCTGTATCATTGTAATACAGTGGTTGGTGATCTCGTTCTTAACAGCACCTATTGTACTGTGTTTAGCGGGGAGGCATCAGTTGAGGTCAGGATTTTTTTTTTTCTCATCTAGCCTTTTGAGCTTATGACATTCAGTGACCTTTCTCCACGGGCCCTCATGTACTCACTGAAGACGCTCCCCTTGAATAATCTTACCGACTTCTATGGCCACTACCATTCCTTCCATGTGGATGACTCCATGTCATCCTAACCTTGGCCTCTGAAACCTAAGTTTCCAACAGTTCTTTAATAGTAGTAGTGGAAATTATTTATAAGTATTTTCTGTTTACCAGGTACTGTGTTAAGTACATTAGCTCATTTAGTCCTCACGAGAACCCTGAAGGAAGGCTGTGGCTTCCGCATTTTACAAACCGAGGAATCTGAGAATTAGAGATGGTGTGATTTTTAATTTCAGTTCATAAGTGTCAGGTCAGGCCCAAGAGTTGGACCCAGACTGCCTGACTCCAAAGCTAGTGCTTTCAACCAGTATTTTATATGCCTTACTAAATATATTCATCTTACTGTTCATTTGGCACCCTAAACTCAACCTGCCTTGTGCTGAATTCATACTCTTTTTTGCTTAAGCCTTACCTCTGCCTAGCATTCTGACTAGTCTGTGGTAGGCATGGGGTGAATGATTTTCAAGTAATTAAATGGTATTTGAGATAAGGCTAAATTCCCTGTATCCTGAAATTGGTTCTGGTAGTTTGAATTTTGAGGGAACAGTGTACAGTCATGATTATTTTGTTGTATAACTGTTCCTATGTATGTATGTTTTAGCCCTCATTTACATAGCACTTACTACATGAGAGGCACTTTCCTAAGCTTTCCTATCTATCGTTTAAGGCTCACAACAACAGAATGAGATAGATACTATTGTTATCTCCATTTTACAGATTACCCAGGCGTAGGCAGGATAGGTAACTTGTCCGTGGTCACACAACATAGCAGTGATTTGACTACCACAGTATTTCTAGTACTGCGTTACTAAGGCTATTTCTTTTATCAGCAACAAACTACCAACACCGTAGAGGAGCCCCTGGATCTCATCAGGCTCAGCCTGGATGAGCGAATTTATGTGAAAATGAGAAACGACCGAGAGCTTCGAGGCAGATTACATGTAAGTAAATTTATCAAAGTACCTCGAAATCAGATTGTATCTTTGCCACCCCTTACCAGTTCCACTCCCTTGAAATGTAAAAACTGTCCAGTGTGAAAGAGTATTTTGAAATGTGGAAGAGAGGGAGGTGAAAAGATACTCATTTCTACAGGTCAAATACAGCTGTTTTGTTCATATGTACAACATTTTTTCTTGTAACAGAAATAGCATATTTATTATAGAACATTTTCATTCCCTTCTTTTTTCCCCTTTTGCTTATTTATAAATAGCATTTATTTGCCCTGTATTCTTACTTAAATGTTTTTTTATTACTGACATTTACATAAATATGTGTTTTGTTATGAAAAAAATTAAGCAGCACAGAAATAAAATCCCATTTTCTCTATTGGTAATGACTGTTAAAAATTGGGTTATTGTTTTCTGTATCTTTTCTGTATATTTAAACATACAGACATATGTGTCCCTATGCATACTTTTGCATTATGTACAGCACTTCTAAATAAAATAAACGGGATATTGTTATACATATTTTTCAGCACCTTTCTTTTGCACTTAATCTTTCTTGGAAATCATTGATCATGTGTGCATATAAATCTTTGTCCTTTTTAATGAATACGTGGGATTCTGTGTATGATAGTAGTGATATTTAGATTGTTTTTCATTTCTTGCTACTGTAAACAATGCTGCAGTAAGCATTTTAATAACATTTTTTTGTGTATATTGGCAAGTATTTCTGTTGAATTGGTCCCTTGAAGTGGTCGTATTTATTCATAATTAGTATACTGAAAGTTTTGCCTTTCCTTGATGACTTGTTACTTTCCTAAGTGTGTTTTTATTACTGTCACTCTTACCCTAAAGTGATTAAAAATAGCTAACATTTGTTCAGCATTAATTATATGCCAGGTACTATTATTCTACATGTTTTGTATGTAGTAACTCATTTAATCTTTATAACAACCCTGTGAGGAAAGGTACTAATTGTCCCCACTTGCAGTTGAGGAAGCTCAGGCTCAGAATGGTGAAGTTATCTGTTCAAGGTGACATAGCCAGTTCAGCAAGAGCCAGAATATGAATCTAGGCAGTCTAGCTTCAGCCCTACTCTTTGTACTATGGTTCCACCTTCCATAAAACCTGAAGTATCTCTGGGCCTGGGAAGGAATTAGGGGCCTAGGGAGACAGTAGTCTTAATCTACAGCTAGCCTTAAGGGAAGAGGAACTCCAGAAAATGGAAAAGTGGCAACTTTGGGGAGAAAAATAGAACTGAGCTTAATTACATGGATCTGTGGCACATGGAGAGACACCCCAAGACAGACATGTTACCCTTAACACTTAGAGGCTTCTTCAGTTCCTTGTTAGACTCAATTGGCTCTGTATTGAATGGCCCCAGCTTTCTGTTTCTTTTCTGCCTCTCAACCATATGTTTTTGCTCTTGTTAGTGTGCTCTGCTAGCAGTTCCCCACATAGCCAGTAGGCTACTTTTATTTGAGGTGAACAGACAGGTTTATTTGGCTTATGATTCTGGGACAGCTGCATCTGGCTTGGGCCTCAGGCTGCTTCTACTCATGGCAGAAGGTGGCAGGCAGCCAGCGTGTACAAGCAGATCACATGGCAAGAGGAAGCAAGAGAGGGGAGGTGCCAGAGTCTTTTAAACAACAAGCTCTCACGGGAGATAATAGAGCAAGAACTCACTCATTAATCCCCCCCACCCCCAAGAAGAGCATTAATCCATTCATGAGTGATCCGCCCCCATGACTCAATCAGTTTCCAACACTGCCACACTGGGGATCAAATTTCCACATGAGTTTTGGAGGTGACAGCATATCCAAACTCCATCAATGGGTTATGAATGGGCGGGTTGTTGCTCTACTTACCTTACCTTTGTGGTGTTTAGTCTACAGTATGCCTTTGGAAGACCACAATGTCATCATCTTAGCAGTTCAGCAAAGGATTTTATCTCCTTACTGTATCTTTCTTGTCACACCATTATAGGTGGAATTGAAAAAAGTGACTTCTAAGTTTGCCGTTTTCTGTAATTAAATATTATAAATGATGTGACTGCTTTAGATAACAAGTTATGTGGATACTTAAAAAATAATTTCAAGTTATAAATAAATTCATTTTTGGCCATATAAACAGTTTTATATTTTTATCAAGTCAATTAAGTCATCATTGGAAATGATTTGTGAAGAAACAGTGTATTAGTACAACAGGATTGCTTTTTATTTGCATTTAAAAGTTTGTGTTGTAAGTATTCAATGTGTTACTTGTGATGGAGCCATTTGGTCAATCTTGTTCATTATTTCTTAATTTGATTATTCTATTTCTTGGTCCTTCACCCTCCCACTTCAGGCTTATGATCAGCATTTAAATATGATATTGGGAGATGTGGAAGAAACTGTGACAACTATAGAAATTGATGAAGAAACGTATGAGGAGATATATAAGGTAAGTTAAGCAGCTCTATTCATCACTCTGAAAACGTCAGTTATTCTAAACTTGAAACAGCTTAACACACATTTGTGGAAAGCCTGTCATATTTTGACACCAACTTACGGACTCAGTAGAGTGTAGCAGTTAAAAGCAAGGGTTTTGGGGTCAGACAGACGTGGGTTCCAGTACCAGCCTGGCCACTTCCTACCTAGGCTACCTTGGGCAAGGACATTAACTTTGCAGACTTGATTTCCTCATTGATAAGTAGGAATACTACCATGTACCCCAGAGGGTTGCCAGATTCAATGAGATGTGACAGTGGAGGATGCCTATGTGTGCTAGTGTATAACAGTAATACTGGACAGTGTTCTTTCATTTTATGTAGATTTGGTGTATAAGTACTTAGTATATTAGAAACTAAGTCAGAGAAATGTTTAAAATATTTATTCATTTAAAAAAATTATCACATGTTAACAAGTAACATTTTTATGAACGGTAACTACACTTTCTAAAACAAAGTATTTAGTGAGAAGTGTCCTTTGTCCTACAGTCTTGCAAATCTCTTTAATGCCAGACTTAATTGAGGACAGCTAGATTCTGACATCTTTTTCTGCATTTAATCAGTTGTAATATGTTATTATAGTTGAAGAAAATCTGACCACACAGATGGGTAGTTGAAAAACAGAAGAGTGTGTTTTGTGAATACTCGCCTTTGTTACTTCACCCAAATTCAACAAGTGGTAGTTTCTTAAAGGTTATTTGCAGTGTAGAATCTGAAACTGTATCAGTAACCTTTACATATTCTTGTTACATGGAAATGTGTTGATCTGCCTTGCACTTCAAATGGATCTTTTACTCATGCGTGATTTGGTAACATCAAGTGCTGGTCATGTGGAAAATTGGTTCACTGAATTATGTAGATCTTCCAAATATTGACACATTACGTTGTTCAGTATTTTAAAAATCACATGTGTTAATATCACCAATGATCTCATCAGAAAAGTCTTTTACGTGTTGGGAAGCCAGTCCCTGACCCTGCTGTGGGTTCAGATTTCAGAACTGTCTGAGTTCAAATCTTAACTCTCTTGCTTATCAGCATTATATTTGGACCAGATGACCCAACCTGTCTGCAAATAAGTTTCTTTGTCTGTATAAAGGGGATAATAATAGGATTATAATAATAACCCACTTCATGTGGCTGTGGAGGATTCATTGAGAGATTACATGAAAAGCTTTCAGATTAGTGACAGGAATATAGCAACGATTCAGTTATTAACCTTTGTTGGTTTTTGTAGTTCTGCTTTATCCTGGCTTGCCTCCTCTGTCTGACCCCTCCTGTCTCCTTCGCTAGTGTTCTTTCTTTATCCCGTTAAGTATGAGCTTTTTTTTCCCTCCATGTGCATTTTTTTCTCTTCAGAGATATCATTTAGTAACTCTAAACATGGACACAATCGTAACATACCAGTTCTGAGATGCGCTTTTTTAGCATCTCAAAAATCTGGTTGCATCTTACAGATCATATAAGAAAGAATTGTTTCATGGTTTAATTGGCAGCATTTTCCCTATTTTAATACAACTGAATCTGCTTTTTTCATGTACATTATTACCCCATGAAAATAGACTCTTCATAAACTATTGAGTCCTGCTTGTGATAAAGGACTCTTCACCTGTGGTGTCCATTCACATAAAGCGGGAGCAGTGCTGCTCCCTCCAGGTTTGCAGTGAGCTGACGATGGGATTCACCTCTCTCATCCATACTAGTCTGCACAGGGCAGGTTTCCTCCTGAAGCTGCTGAAGGTGTTGTGTGTCTGTGCATGTGCATTCTCTGGGTGGAGAGCCTGTAACAGTTTCAGGGTGGTCATCAACCTCTGTAGAAATAACTGCTTCCTGTGAAGGCTGGCTGCCGCTGTGGGGACTGTTCAGCTACTTCTTACTGTGTGCTCAATGCACATGGTCTCTTGCTTCCAGAGTTGCAGCTGCAGAAGAGTAAGCAAAATTTGTTTAGTGAATGAGATGTTTTTTACATTGGGTAAAATATTATTGGGTAAAATATTAAAAATGAAATCTTCAGATGATTGAAAATACTTTCCTCATTTCAACTATAAAGAAAAAACATGTCTTCTCTGGAAAGTGTAGTATTGTATCATTTCCATACAGAAAGTCCATTGTACAAGCAACCTTTTCTTGTAGGATTTTAGACATATATAGTAGTTTCTCATTATAGTGTGAAAATGTATGTTAACTGAAGACTTAGAGAGGAAAGTAAGTGATATTATGGGGAGTATCTACAATCAATTTGATTCAGCATCATAGAGAACAATGACCTCACTCTCCTATATGCTCTCCAACATAGGGAAACCAGACTGAATGGTTTCTCATCTTGGCCCATTGTATTTTTTGCTCTCTCTTTCTTCTATTGAAATAACTAAGGAACCACCAGTATTCCCAAAACTGTAGGTGACCCACTGACCATAAGTTTTTGTGGGGGTTTTCCCCTTAACTTACATAATTGACTACTGATTTGTTATTGGAAAAGTGGAAAACAGTCAATCTTCCTTTTCTGGTTCTTAGTCTACCATAATTGGAGTGTCTGTTTTGTAGGCTGCTCAAGGTTTGTATTGTTTGTCCCCAGCCCGCATTTTCAACTGTTCATCATATTTACCACCTTCTTTCACCTCATCGTTTGGCTTACCAGACAGTTTCTCTTGGGGATGTTGTGCCCTTTTGTAACTGAGCCGTCTTGCTCCCTCTGCTCTCAGCACCCTTTCTCACCTTACAGACTTTTGCCTATAGGACTTCTGGAGAGTATCAGATGTCTCTCTTTCTCTAGACCAGCACTGTCCAGTGGAACTGTGTGCAATAATAAAAATGTTCTGTATCCAATACAGTAGCCATGAGCCATATGTGGCTAATTAGCACTTGAATGTGTGCTAGTGTGAACTGAATATTTAATTTTATTTAATTTTACTTTAACTGGCAACCTGTGACTAGTGGCTCTCATACTGAACAGAGCAGCTCTAGACCAACTCCCTTATACAGAACTAATTCTGTCTTTATGATCCAGTGTTGTTTATCACTGTATAATACTTAACACATATTTCTTTTCTTACCCACTTTAAATTACTCCCATTTTAATTTAGCCTTTTGAGTAGATAATTTTGTTTTGTTTTGGATTTGGCATCTGGTGGTAAGGGGATCCAAACCCTGGACCTTGGTGTTACAACACTGCACTCTTAAACAGCTTAGCCAACTGGCCAGCCCAGATTTACAGTTTTAAAAATCACAAAGTAGAAAAGAAACAATAAAACATCTTCCACAGCCACCTGCAGAGGAAATCACTGTTACTGGTTTCTTGAGAATCCTCCTCAGTGTCTTTATGCAAATACGAAGGTACTGCAAAAAGTTCGTGGAAAGATTCATATTATCTTTTAATTCCGTTTCTCCACAAACTTTTTGAAGTGCCCTTGTACTAATGAATATTAATTATTCTCCCCATTTAAAAAAAAAAATAGCATACCATACAAATTGTTTCATACCTTGGTGGGGTTAAACTTTTTGAAGTGCCCTTGTACTAATGAATATTAATTATTCTCCCCATTTAAAAAAAAAATAGCATACCATACAAATTGTTTCATACCTTGGTGGGGTTTTTTTTTTTTCCCCCTTTTATTTATTTATTTTAAAAATTTTAATTTTTATTGAATCAAAATTGATTATACATATTTTTGGGTTTCAACATTGAAATATGTTGATCAAATCAATATAACTAGTATATGTATTGTTACAAATTGTAATTATTCTTTATGCCCCTTGTCCAATCCCTCCCCATCACCATTTCCCTCCCCTCTCTAATCACCCTAGATTTCTTCTCTCCCTCTGAAAGGGATAATGGTTACTTTGTTGATTTGCTGCCCAAATGATCTGTCCAATGCTGAGAGGCATGATTAGGTCCCCCAATACTATCATAGAGCAGATGTCTCTTCCGTCACTGTAAAATGGGCTTTGTGGAGACAGACATCCTCCTCCTTTCTTTATCTCTGCTGGTGACTCTCCTTGTGTCAACTCACTCCAGTGGCTGGTGGACCATCTGTGTGGTGGTTGTTGGATCTGGCTGCCTTTGGGCAGCCATGGTTATCGTAGTGGCTGTGGTGGGCCACCTACATGGAGGAGATGTTTTTGGCCTGCTCTGTGGTGCTGGCAGTGTGCCTGGTTGTGGAGAGTGTCTGATCCCCAGTTCCATGCCCTGGGTTGCCGAGTGGGCCCCAAGGTGCTGGCACCGGGTGCCTGGTTGTGGAAGGGGGGCTCCAGTCCCAGGCTCCATACCCTGGGCCCCCAGGTAGGCCCTGAGGTCCTGGCATGGGGTGCCTGTTTGTGGGAGGGGAGTCTGGTCTCTTTCTCCATGCCTCAGGTCCATGGGCAGACCTGAGGCACTGGTGCGGTGTGTCTGGTTGTGGGAGGGGGGGTCCAGTCCCCTTCTCCAGACCCCGGGTCCCAGGGCAGGCCCCAAGGAGCTGGCACGGGGTGCCTGGTTGTGGGAGGGGGTCTGGTCCCCAGCTCCATACCCTAGGTCCCCTTGTGGGCCCTGGGGCACTTGCACAGGGTGCCTGTTTGTAGGAGAGGGGTCCAGTCCCCGGCTCCATCCCTGGGTCGTCAGGCTGGAGCCCCGAGGTGCTGGCATGGGGTGCCTGGTTGTGGGAGGTGGGTCTGGTCCCCTTCTCCATGCCCCAGGTCCCAGCACGGGTCCCAAGACCTTGGTGTGCTGTGCCTGGTTGTGGGAGGGGGTTCTGGTCCCTTTCTCCTTCCCCCAGGTCCCTGAGTGGGCCCTGAAGCATTGGCGCAGGGTGCCTGGTTGTGTGAAGGGTGTCCGGTCCCCTTCTCCATGTCCTGGGTCCCTGGGCAGGCCCCAAGGCACTGGCATGGTGTGCCTGGTTGTGGGAGGGAGGTTTGGTCCCCTTCTCCATGCCTTGGGCCCCTGGGTGGGCCCTGGCATGCCTGGTTGTGGGATAGTGGGTCC